ATTACACGCTTAGATGCATTGCGTTGATTTCTATCATTGGCGGAAAAACTTGGCAACTTCACGTTTCAAAACTTAAAGCACAGAGTGAGACAAAACGTACAAGTGGTGAGAAGAAAGCGCGCTTACTCTCCGCGGAGGCGAATCCCTCGGCAGAACCCAAATCTCTACATCCCTGCTGTACTCCTGTACATCCTGCTGATCTACACGAGTTACACGTACATATCCACGAAGGTAGGCCGGTCTAATTCAACTTCCCTTGATCTTTAAATTTGATTATTTTGATCAGTGGACTACGATAACCGAATATCAATGAGTGTAAGAATATTTGTCAGAATGTCTTAATACTACATGTATGTCATCTGTTTAGATGTCCTGATCCTAGATTTTAGCATTCTTAATTAAGAATTTTAACTCTTAAATGTCCCCCTTTTCTCCTCTATGATCCCTGTCGTGTTAAAGTTGTTTTGCTTTGCTTTCATGATTTGTTGCACGAGTAATTTGGTGAGTATCCGCATTCCGTATTAGGCCGCCCACAGCAACTTTCAATAAAATAAGGAAATCGTGGCTTAAAAGCTTATTATCTTTTAGTTTTCTCTAAACGCTCCATTAGTTTGACTGCTTATCAGGGGAGAGAAACCAGACAATGTTTCCTGCCTTCTATTAATAATAGACAAGGTGTTGTCTTTGTACCGTTTTTCATTTCTGGTTGATTTGCTATATAACGCTGTCGTTTTCTAACACAAACCTTATTTTATAAAAAACGATGGTCGCCAGTACGATATCCCTATTCTACACGGTGTCGAGTTTAACCGGGTCACGTCGAACTCGATTTTCACACTTTAAATTAAAAACGCGTGTAAACAGGTACCCTCTTTACGGCTGTAGAAGTTTCAGCAGTTTTTGTTACGTCATGAACATCCTTTGGGAGAGGAACTGGTTGCGATTCAGATGTCGATGGTGAATATGGTGGCACAGAAGACATAAAGACATTTTTGATGTTCAGCTGGATTCCTCCATTTTATTGGTGGTGATTCGATTATGTCAAACATTTTTTAAGCCTTCACTCTCTATTACGTCCAGTAATCAATCTAACGTAATCAGAATAAAAGAAAAAAAATACTGAGAACTACTGATAACGATTGATAGAGTGCACTTTACGAGTGAACCAATTCAATAGTCAGTCATGATAATTAAATGGCGAATGGGAGACTCTTCATGGACCAGTTACAAGAAGTATATACCAAAGAGTTTATTCCGTTCGGGAATTCAGTTAAAATAATTTTTATGGTACAATTAAATTTATGACTTATCAGCTGTTCATTTACATGCTTTAGGAAATCAGTGCAAGAATGGTGGCGTTATGACAATGGGTGAGCATGATGTGTTCAAATGTTTATGCCCTCCAAAGTTTGGGGGTCCGCTTTGCGAAGGTAAGCTACATTTGGTTTTACAATGCCACCTTGCTAGGACAGTGAGTTGAAGTGGTAAAGAAGTTAAAATTGGCCCTGAGGTAGAGTTAATTATACTTTTGTAGCTTTGAATTGCATTTTTTCGCAGTGAGACACCGTAGGTGCATTGTGCTATTCTCATAACCTTCTCTCCCTGAACTCTAGACACCTTATTTTGTTACTATAATCCTTGCAAGAATGGCGGAACTTGTAAAGAGGTTGATCACGGTTTTAAATGCAATTGCGCTGAAGGATTTACGGGAAAAACTTGCCAAGGTAGGTGATTTCCGGTAATTATTAGCATATTGCAGCGTAATTATAATTATTTGTCATAAACCTAACTGATCGCAGTTGATTTGTGCGCTCGGATTCCGGGTCGGTCTATGTTTGCCGATCATTGTATTCTGTTCTTGGAAGAGACACGTTACTCTCACAGTGCCTCTCTCAACCCAAGTGTATAAATAGGTACCGGTAAATTAAATACTGGGTGGTAACCCTGCGATGGACTGTTATGCCATCGAAGGGGCTGAAAAAATACTCCTGATGATAATGGAGTTAAACACCAATCTGGTAAACCACTAAGCGTATGTTAGTATGGTTCTTATTCAAACTTGCTTGTTTCTTGTTAAAGACTTACTGCAAATGAAGTCCAAAACTCGGAATTTGATTGGTTTAACTACGGGCTAAAAGCCACGAGTCATGTATATGGTTAAAAAACATAAGGAAGTCGTAAAAAGTGATAGAGAAGCTGTTTCCGAAAAAAAATTACAGTTTTTTGTTTTAAAAAACTGTATTAAAATAGTTATATTTGGTTTTAAAGTTAGGTTTTTGTTGTTAATATATCTTTAACAAGATGTGTGTAAGGAAAGCTGCCAATTGTAAACTGCATTGCTGTTCTCGTGGGTCCTGCGTTATAAATGAAATGATTATGGGTTAATCCATTGACTCTCGTGCGAGAGAAAGTTAAATAAAAAAGATTTTTGGGCATGCCCGAGCGAAAATGTCGTAACATGCGACGCTAGTGGAAAGAAAGGCATGCTCCTATGTTGTAAATGTATTCTTAAGTAGGTTGGAGTTAATTTGGGCCATATTCAGGCTGAACATCTCCAAAATGTCCAAAAATTGCGTTTCTGACAAAAAGCTCCGGGAGTCAATGGGTTAAAGGACTCAAAACGTGTTTTGCAATTTTTCAGACAAAAATTTCTGCAAACCCAATCCTTGCTCCCATCATGCCACTTGCGTCGAGACACTAAATGGCTTCAAATGCATCTGCGAAGAAGGATACAAAGGCGAGAGATGTAAAGGTAATATTAGCTAATATTGTTTTTGCAACAGTATGGAAGAAAAAGACATCAAAAGTCACATTGTTGTAACACTTTTGTTGTTGTTGAGGAATAAATACTATGTCGACAAAACAAATTCAAGGGGCGGCCAATACTTTTCTTAAGAGCTGAAAGGCTCGTCTATTTACAAAAACAAAGAGACAAGAACAAAAAAAACAGTATCAACAAACAAAAACATGCCGTTAGTGAAAATTATGGGAAAAACTGGAAAAGGTCGCAGAATACATAGCCATGTACGTGCAATCTAACCCTATACTTATATCTTATCCACTACCCATTCGATCACTTTGTCTCCGGTTTTTTATGAAAGCAGTATGTAATGTAACTTAAACTAAACAAGGTATCAACCAATTCTACTGTATGCTGTACGCGTTTGCCTTTTTTATTT